AAATATAAATTTAAATATAAATATAAATATAAATATAAATATAAATATAAACAAATACAAATTGTATTTATACAAATACAAATACAAATACTGTATAAATCAGTACTTGTCTTTACCTGAGTTGTCTTCCATGACGGTGTAGATGAGTTTGCAGACCCTCAACAGCGTTGTGACCTTCTTCTCTGGCGAGTACAGTTTACACATAGTCTGGAACCTTTGCTTGATCTTCTCTAACGCGACGGGATCCGGGGGCTGCATCGCAGCAACGCCCATCTCCTGGGGCTTCCGTGCTTTGGCCAGCGCCAGGTTTTCCTTCAGCTCCCGCCACGCTCCGCTGCGCTCTTGAATTTCCTGCAGGGCAGTGCTCAGCACTGATTTCAACGGCTTCAAGACACACTTGTGCATCGCTTTCTCTAGAACTTGATCTGAGGAGCACAAAAAAAAAAAAAATGCGAGTTTAAAAAATTGAAAAAAAAAATGAAATATGAATACAGTTTTATAGTTTGTAGTAGTGAAAGTGATGTAATGAAATCTTTTTCTGTAATCTCTCCTCTACCAAGATTACACCAAGCTAACTCTGCTAACACCGTTAGCCTTGGTTCTTCCTTAGGCTTCAATAGGAGATCGAAATATTGCAAGTTAAATTACTGCAATCTAAAGCAGGGGTACCCAACCCCCGGTCCGGGGACCAGTGGCGGTCTGTAGGTCATTCGGTAGCGGCCCACAGTGGGACACAGTGACAAAATGTACTTGAGTTTTACTAATATACTTCATTCAAAAATAATCAAAAACTAACAGAGTAAAGTCTAAAACTATATTTATTTTGAAAATATATAGTATTACCGGTTCGCAGTAACGGCCGATGGATCCGTCGTACAAAAAAACGGTTAGGGACCAATGATTTACATTGGAAAAAAAAAAATTACCCACAATACATCCCACTCCCTGTGACCCACTAAAAACAACAGAGAGGATTATTGGTGAGTGTTTATATTGCGTGTTTTGTATGGGTACCCTGTTTACAACAGCTTTCATTGCAGACACATTGTGCAAAGGTCAGCATGTCAAGCTCATTCAGTAACTAACAGCAACTATGTCACCATTACACAAGGTACCACAGGAACACAGAACCAAAACACAGTACTGCTGAGCAAAGACTATTTTTGATGTTGTGGGTTTTTTTTTTTTTTTTTTTTTTTAATTCAGCACAGCTTTTACTTATGTTGTGTTGCATCTAGACGACAACACACACACACGTCAGTAACACACACAACGAGGTAAAGCTGAGGCGAATTTACCCCGACGGGCCGGTCCATCAGCTTTTTATTTTTGACGCACAAGAACGTGAGGACAAGGTGGCGTGAGGAGACAGCTGTCGTGGCTGCTTCCCAAACAGCAGATTTTCACTTCCTCATTCTGTCACTGTGTACTTACAGCTGCTGAGGGCCTAGTGCGTGAGTCACCGTGAATCATGTTTTTGTTTAGACCAGGGGTGTCAAACATAAGGCCCGCGTGGCCAAAAACCTGTCCACCGGGGTTGTTTGATCTGGCCCGCTTGACGAATTTTCGAAAATAAGAAAATGCACTAAATCTTTTTTTTTTTTGTAAAATTATATTTCGTTAAATGTGAAGAAGTCATAATAAATATCAAATACACTTGTACTTGTTTGCATGAAAACAAAAGGGAAAGACATTGACTTGTTATTTATAGTTATGAATGTACTGGTCCGGTCTAATTAGGGGAGGAAACGGGGATATTTTCTTGCGGTGTGTCATAATTGAATGATTTATATTAATTGGCTTTGTGAATGTGATACCTGAAGTATTTTAGTTGTTAACTTCCTTGTCACAGCGGTGGAAACCACCTGTGATTTAGAAACGAGCCACCAGCCAAAAAAACACGAAACAAGGACACAGTGGATGAACTAGAAAACGTGTACGAATGTAATCTAAAGAATAGTACTGCTTCCTTAAAATAGTTTCTAAGAACTTCCATAAATCAGATTTTCAAATAAAAGCAAAACCCCTCAAGACCTCAGTGTTCAGTAGCATGAATGAGTCATGTCTAATTGCTAGGTGACAAAGTTCATGCTAGCGTTAACAATTAACAGTATATACGGTAGATGTTTTTCCAATGCTAAACTGCAAAACATTCAGACCCCGGGGGGGGGGGAATTTTTGTAAAACTTCCACCAGGAAACGGACTATAAATCGGGACTCAGGGCGAAGTCTAATCACATGCTCAAACGCGACCTTTGGAAAAAAAACGACAGGAAGTAGTAAAAATTGACGACCTCTACCTTGACCCCATTCGCAGTCGACGACAAATTATGTAGCTAGCCGGAACCGGCGCAAACGAAATCAGGGTCTAAATGAGCCGCAGAAGCCACAGAGCATGCGTATAAAACTGTAAACAATGGCTAAGGCTAACTGTAGCATAACAAATAGCCGGATTAGCCTCTTCAGCATGGACAGAAGTATGGTTTCTGCCATTGTTGTTATTGTGTGGCATTGAGGGAGACGCGAGCGTCTCGAGAGTTTTCAAATCTCTCCACTGAACCCGTAGGCGACGAATACGCAGTTCTCCGCCCCAACACTCCGTCTTCGTCTAAAAGAAGGCCAAATCGGTGCTATAGCTCCGGGAACGTGAGCCGTATCGTAGTCGAATCGTCGCCGTCTTAACAGGGCCACAAATTTCGTGGATTTCAGTTCCTCACGATCAATTTGACAAATGTGTCGGTTAGCTTGACAGACAATTGTCAACTCGATTGTTTGAGTTACATATCTGCAGTATCTAGAGCAGGGGTGTCAAACTCATTTTGGTTGAAGATTTAACCCCCTAGCGGACCGATTTTGGCCCACGGGCTGTATGTTGGACACCCCTGACCTCGACTGTCAACCCAGTGCTGTTTGTGCTGGTGTGAAAAATGAACCATTTCCTGACAAATTACTAAAGAACCTGGAGTACAAGTGTAACTGTATGTTTTGAAGAACTTACCAATCTGCTCTTCAGGAATGAGACTCTCAATTGGCGGCTCCATCTCGGAGCTTTGTCTCAGGTAGCTCTTCATTTGCGTCATGAACTGCCGCAGAGTCTGCAGCAGCTCCACACCAGAGGTGTATCCCTGCCAGGCCTGTGTGCCCGCACCTTCGCCCATGTAGCTCAGGTGATCCTGCACCAGGCAGCCAAAGTATGAGCCCTTATCTCTGGACAGTTCCACAACCTTACGGACCACCCTCTTCTCCGGCGTCAGGAGTGAATTAAACACACCGCTCATCTTACGCAGTTGCCCTCGCAGAGCCTGCTGGATGACCAACGCGCTGGCGCTTGAGCGACGATGAATCCGATGTCCCGGTGGCACCATGGTCACCTCCTGGTCCTGGTCGCTTTCGAGGTTTATGCCGTAGTCGGGATCCTCGTCGTCCTCGTCGTCCTCGTCGTCGTCTATGCTGCTGTACAGCAGGTGAGACGACGGGAGGGAGAGAGGCAGGTAGGTGTTCAGTTCGGCCTCAGTTGGAGGGCTGGGGTCGTGAAAAGGAGGAATCGAAAACGTGCCGGAGAAATCTAGAGAGTCCGAGGAATCTGTGGAGAGACTCATGTCACTCAGCCGTTGACCACCACTGCTGGACTCGCCGCCGGCTTCTGCGTCTTCTTGCTGCGTCTCTGTCCGATCAGCTCTGGTCATGACTGAGCACTGCGGAGGACTCCCGGAAGTGTCTTGTGAGGCGTTTTTTCGACAGCTATTCTGGAACAGCTTGGCCCTGTGGAGTGCCTTTTCAATAGTCTGTTCCTCCAGTGCAGCATCTTCAAGGCTGGACGACAAGGATGACACTTTGGATTGTCGCGGCGAAGAGGACAGAAATGAGAGCGAGCGGGGCGGCGAGAGCTTGGGGGTAGATATGGGGAAACTGATGATGGGTTTTCTTGGCGGGGAGGACGAGGGACTGATGCTCAGCGACGAGCCTAAACGAGCGAGATTGTCCCTGGTTGTTTCTTTCGTTCTCTCCTTGGAAGAGCCGATCCAGGAAATCTTCTCTGGCATGCTGCTCTGTCGTACGGTGGGAACACTCCGGCGTGCTCCAAAGCGGGGAGGGGGCGGACGAGGAGGTGGAGACGATGAGAATGCACCCAGTTTCTGACAAGTGGCCGGTGGCTGAGTCTTTTGTTCGAGTAGCTGCGTAGTTTTGATAGGATTGTGCGGTTCGGTTTGATCCAAGTTGGAGGCCTCGGGGTAAGTGCCGCAGGATGGATGTTCCTCGCTGTTTATCTCTAGGCTGTTGGTAATCGGTTTGTCCTTTAGCCTTGCGGTGGTAGCACCCGGATCCTGGTTTGATTGGTTGCTCTTTATAAAGAGAGGGTTGATGAAACACAGGGCTCCATTGGACTGGTAACAGTCGAGCTCAGCCGGGGTGCGGGTTTGAAGCTTGGGGCACTCCGGTGACCAGGAGACTGGTCGTTTGGCAGGGAAGGGTGGTCTTCTGGGAGTAGCTTTCCCCGGCAACGGCGCTACGCGTCTCGGCTCATGGTTCAGCTGAGTGTCCCAAAAACCTATTTATGAGAGAGAGGAAGTGTATACGTTTGTGTGATGGAAAAATGGATTGTCGCTTAAGAGCATCAATGGAATTCATAAAGATCTACAGCAATGTATTTTTTTAATTTCATATGTTTTTAATAAAAATAAAAAAAAAAAAAGGGAAGAAGACAAAGGGGAAAAAATGAAAACAAACATGGTTTGTGGGCAAAGTCGAAGAGTCGACTTAATAATATTTCATATACATTCATTACAGTTTGATTTATTTTTTTATATATACACTATATGAATACATACATATATACATATATACATATATATATATATATATATGTATATATGTATATATATATATGTATATATGTGTGTGTATATATATATATTTATATATTTATATATGTATATATGTATATATATATATGTATATATACATATATATATATAAATATATATATATACACACACATATATACATATATATATATAAATATATATATATCCTACAACATAATGTGATACTTTTTAATAGGTTGAACCTTATGCATGCCAGGCTGGAATCCTACCGATAAGCTGCGGTAAAATAATGTCCACAAGACAGAAAAAAGTAAAGAGAATGTGTATATATATATATATATATTTATTTAAATATTCAAAGATTCTATTCAACGTCACTGTGTCAGGAATCAGTCGAATCCCAAACACTTGGCCTTAGTTCATGCCCAGCGATTCAAAGTTACACATTAACGTAAGGAACGAGTTACAGCGTGAGCTAAGTTTACTAAATAAACACACCAATCCACAGCCCCGAATCCACACACACACACACACAAACAAACACCAAAACATATCGCCGTCCTCTAATCTGTTCGTCTCCCTCCTGGATAAAGCAGAAACGATTCACTAATACTTCACAACAAACCTTTTTTAATTCCACATTTTCTAGAGGATATATATATAAAGAGAAGTGAAAAGATCTAACACGAGACTTCTGTCTGTCCCTTTTCCGAGTTGACGCTGTACCACACAGAGCTGCTTCCACTCACACTGAGGCTATTCTTGTTCACGCCGAACGGCGGAGAGTAAACACTGACAACTTACTGTGATCCCCGAGGCTCCCTGACAAACACAGCAGCAGTTGATCTCAGACATACTCGGCTTGTGTGTCGTCCCAGCGCTGCGTATGCACAAGTTGAAAGGGAACGGATTCTCTGCCCAGCCCACGCTCTTCGTGTGCTATGACTCACTCTCATTAATGTGTGCAGACGGGCTCTTAGCACTCCCTTCTTCCTCCTACTCCTAAAGTCAAAATGCAGCGTCTTTGTTCTTGGACTTGTTATCTCTCGTGCTTGGAAATGTATGATTGCGGGAAAAAAAAACACAGTAGGGGATGTGTAGGGAGAGAGAGAGAGAGAGGGAGACAGAAGAATGGGGACAGAGAAAGAGAAAGAGAGAGAGAGGGAAAGAAGAGGCGGGGGAAAGAGAGAGAGGGAGAGAGGGAAAGAAGAGGGGGGGGCTGGAGAGAGAGGGGGAAAGAGAGAAATAGAGAGGGGAGGAGATAGAGAGAGAAAACATGGGGCAAGAGAGAGAAACAGAAGGCATGGTGATGGAGTGTGAAAGTATGACAGTGTGTGTGTAGTCTGCAGAAAACCAAAGATACCAGAGAGGGAAGAGAGAGATGACAGCAAAGGCTAAAATCTTCTTTTTACAAGCAGCCAGACGGTCGACCATGCATGTAGATTTTTAGGCAGTTCCCAGAGGTGCTTCTTTCTTTGGTGAATACAATGCAAAGCTGGGTTGTGTCTCTTTCTGCCGCTCATCGTTCAACTTTTCCCTCTGTCTTTTCTGTCTGTCTCAGATGTCTTCAGGTCATCTGCTGCTCTCTCTGAGTCTCTCTGTGTCTAATTCTCATTTCTTTTCAATCAATATCATTTTCACATTTCTCCCTGTTGTTCTGTGCCCTCTCTTTTCTCCTACTTCATGCAAAGCTGGCAGCAGTTTCGGGGGCGAATGGCTCGTGTGGTGCTGCAGGATGAAGACATAACCACCAAGATAGAAAATGACTGGAAGCGGCTCAACGCTCTAATGCACTACCAGGTAAAAACACAAAAGGATTTTGGTTCAAATGTTTTTCCAAAAAAGCCCTGTGTTACATTTTTATGGAGATTTTCATTTCTGGGTTGGTTTTATTATGGAAATGATGGCAAACACTGAGCCTGGCCAAACTTTGATGTTTCCTGCTGTTGACTTTCATGCAGCCAATTTTCAGCTCCTCATTTGCATGTCCATGTCGGTGTAATCCAAATGGCTGTGAGAGTGGAGGACAATTACTGTACAGGTGTCATGGAGATGAACTCTTCACATCTCCACAGCTACTTTGCCACCTCCCTGGAGAGGAGCTGCTGAAAGCAGGAGGGCAAAATGTCCCTGCCTCCGTCTCCTGGCGGTCCCCTTACTCATATGCTGATAACGGCGGGTCTCGCTGTGACTCTGAGCCTCTGTCTTTCTTCAATTCATGGCTCACAATTAAAGGGCCCGTAGGCTCACCCTTTTGCCCCTTATTAAAAGGAGAGAAAAGTAGAGACCCTAAGTGGAGGAGAAGTTTTGCATTTCCAGCGACTTCACGACTGCTGAAATTTTAAATTCAAAGAGGAGACTAAAAGGCGAAAGGAGAAACAGAGTTTAAATGAAAAAAAAGAAGTCGATGAGGGCTGAGGAAAATGGAGAAAAAAAGGAAAGGGTCAGGGAACATTTAAAATCATGCCCAGCAGACTGTCATTAGTATGACCCTGCTAACAGAGCGTACCATGTGAAATCCTGAGTTACTAGTAAAGAATAAATGTTGATGCAGCTATAAGGGAACGTCAGAAAGTTATTTTTCCATTAGAGAATTTCTTCTTTGTTCAATTCTGGGAGACTCCAGATCATAACCTGCTGTTTTTTTAAATTAAGAGCTCCCCAACAATGTCTCAAAGGGATTGTCGACAATTTATATGTAAAAACCCATGCAGAAAAGGAATAAATAAATATGCAGTAAGGAAAAATGAACTGAGTCAAAATAATAGTCGGTTAGTCAAAAAGTTCCAATATAAAGATTGAAGATATGGAATTATTGATGTCTTTCACACAGATGTTCCTTTTGACTATTTTTCAGACTTAGGCATATTTGACAAAAATACAATATCTGAGATGACTGGGGGGGGTGTCTTTAGTGATTGCAATCAGACAACTTTGAGAATTTCAACATTTGTCTTAGAACGTTTCACTAAGACTGAGTGAAGCTTGTCGTGAACATTTATGCTCTAATGACATTTTCTCACCATCATTTTTCATCTTAACCCTCTTCAGTGTGTCATACCTTGTGTTTATCCTGTTTTATTTCTGTCTCCCTTTGAGTCCCTTCTCTCCCCTCTTTTTCTTTCATCTCTACTTTTCTTTTGTCTCTTTTGAAGCAGCTTAATGTGTTTGTTTCTGTTGTTTCTCTTCACAAACACACATGTATTTGTTTTATGTTCTACCTCAGTCAGATCAGATACTTGTTTTGATCATAGTTCTGCATAGAACAGAAGGGCAAACATTAGAACATCAGAAGAGAGGCTGTAGGGCGTAAAAGCTGGTGGTCAGATACCCGAGACCATCATAAGTCAACACCAACATCATTAACAGTTCTATAAGGTTGTCTTAGATCTGCAGAATTCACACTTTTTTTTTCTTTCTTTTTTTTTTTAACGAAATAAGTCTGCAAAGCTTAGGCCGGATCCTTCCAGAGCGAAAGCTAAAGAAGAGGAGAGATAGGAAATTGTTCATTTCTCTTCTGAACAAAACACATAACAGATAAAAACAGAAAAAAAAACAAGCTAAAAGGTCAAGACAAGTTTTTGTAGGGATGGCTTGATACAACTTTTTCGAGAATCTATCGATACCGATAACAATCCGATGCTTTTTTCCGTCTCCAGCATGTCGCAAGCTAAAGCGCCAGTGTTTATAGCATGTTGCGCAAAGTTAAGTTGAGCATTTTCGCGTATTGGATCAATGTGCTATTTATTTTTTCGATGTTCTATCCTGGAATTTTGACCAATATCGCTCCGATACTGATCCTGATTATCGGATTAAGGCATCCTTAGTGCTTTCGGTACCAAATTTTCAACATGTAGTTCTTTGTTACAGTTAAAGTATAAAGTCATGGACTTGAAAACAGGTCGCACCAATAAATTGTTTGATCACAATGGAGCACAATTACAAAATTCCAGACAGGCAAAAACACTGTGTACGTCAAGCTAACGTCACGTACTGCAGCTATTATATGGTATCCTCTGTGTAGGAAATGTCTGATGGTACAGTAGTAAATGCTGGATTACAGAGAACAGAAAGAGAGAAACAAGAGCTGATGTTATGTGCACAAATCTTTTCTCTTTCAATTTCCTTAAAATTACGACTTCCTCTTAATCGGTAAAAAGGAAACGGCAACTCGAAGAATATCAACAATGGGAAGGCAGTTTGTCTTTGTAGTTGTGGAACTGGTGGGCAATCGGAGGTAGGGGATTTTGGACGACGAGAACCTAATTCCGCAGTCTTACTTTGTGTTTAGGAACTGTCCTGAAGCTGAACACAAAGGTATACATATTTTTAAAAAAAAACAGTTTTTAAAACTCTGGCTTACCCAGCATGCAACTGTTTTCGTATCGTATGATTTCTGCTGATCATAATACAATCAAAAAATGCTGGCGAAGCAGCCAAACGTGATGTGGCAAGTACAATGACAAAATGTAAAAAATGAGAAACATCCCGCTCTGGATAGAGTAAAAATAGCGACTGCACTTGTTCACTCAACCTGTAATCTATTGGGTGGGTGTTTTTTCTATGAACGTCTCAATTACATCTAAGTCCAAATTTAGTCAATGCAACTTTTTTATTTTTTGTAATTTTTTTTTTACTTCTCGTTAAGATGTATGTTTTAGTTTTGGTTAAATTTATTTTAAATACATTTATTTAAAAATGCAATGTGTATATGTAATATATACACATATTTTTACTGAAAAAAAAAATTGTATATCCCGGACAGTTCGCTAGCTGTTCATTAACCACAACAATGAATGATATTATTCATTAAATGTGATTTTACAACAGATTAGAGTGTTTTGTAATTCATTAACATCTACATAGTCATAGTATTAAAAAATGATAAAAAACACAACGTTTACTCCAGAGTTCAGCTTTGTTCGATCACGTTTGAAAGCGTTGGTTGGCTTACCTTTGCGTGAATCTCAGGATGAGACAGTATTTCCAATTTGAATTCTTGTTTCCACTGACATTAAAACTATGTATATCGGTCCTACCGTGTAAACGCGTTTCGCTATATCTCGAACTGATTGTTCCCGCTCAGGTAATGTGTGGACAGCTCTGTTTCAAGTTTGAACAACTGTGTCGATAATCAGTTCTCAGATCTGATCACAGAAACCAGACTGCGATGTGGTTTCCAAACACAACTGTCCACATTCCTGACTTGCAAAAACCCCGACGTTCATGCCTTAACGTCTCCCTCCTATGTTCTGTCCTCTGCCCTGTTGTAGTTCCTGTTCTGCTACACCGGCGGTCCCTAACCTTTTTTCTGCACCAAGGACCAGTGGGCCGGTACCAGCTGTTACCGCGCCATCGTTGAAGGATGATTACATTTTCAAAATAAAACATCTTCTAGACTTTATGGTGTTAGTATCAGAGTCTGAGTGACCCGTTGTTCTGAAACGTTGACAGATTATCTTTGAATGAAGTAAATTAGTAAAATTGAAGTACATTTATTCACTGTGTCTTACTGCGGCTCGGTACCAAATGATCTACGGACCGGCACCGGTTTCTCGGACCGGGGTTTGGGAATCCCTGTACTACACTACACGATACCTATGCATTAATACACAAGTACTATACAGTGCATGTACACTGGCTGCCCCTCCAGAACAAACATACATATTTACTTCAGTGAATATATATACATATACATATATGTGTATATATATATATATATATGTAGAGACACATATATATATATATATATGTAGAGACACATATATATATATATATATGTGTCTCTACATATATATATATATATACATATATGTATATATATATTCTTTTACCATCATCTCAATTTAATCATTTTTTTTAAATAGTTCAAAATATACAATTGTTATACAGTAATTCATATATAAGGGGTACGCACTGAGTCCACAGAGAGTTCCACAGTTTTCATTGTGATTTTTTTTTTTTGAAAACCACAAAAATATATCGTTATTTATCGATGAATACGCTGTGTTTAGGGCATCAATATCCACAGTAACAGTTTGTTCCTTCACCACACATCATCAATGTACATTCACACCCATCACCTCTATTCTCCGTGGACCAAACCAATTAGTCCACCAATGGGGGTCTGAGTCATTCTCATTGTCTGACGGCTCCTCTGTTTTTTTTCCAAAATACTAATACAGGGGTCCTCGATATACCGTATGTCGGAGTTCCGTTCCTGCAACATGACTGGGTTACAACAAGTCTGAACTCACATTCTGTACATAAGTACAGTACTTGTGTCACTCCCCATCACTAACACAGTGGTAACATCATAATCATAATCTTGGAGCCATAATGAAGGGGAAAATGTGCACAAAGAAAGCGAATGTGAACTCCATCTTCCATGACAGCGCCGCATGGCGACGTTTCCATCCCCTCGGCTCGCCAACTAGTTTTCACAAGTTTGTTCAATGCCATACGTCGGAATGATGGAACAAGAGCTTAAGGGCGTTGGTGTCGTAAACCAAGGACCTCCTGTAATTTCAAACTCACATGCCTCTCATCTGTAACTAATTTTTGGAGCGGCAGCTTCCGTACCCTGCCATTTGCCTAAATTCGTACGAAACGAATAATAACAATAATAACGATAATAAAGCAGAAATGATGTCACTAGCCAGTAAACAGTGCATCTGATGACAATGCGTCATGTGTGGTTTATTCAGTTTAGTCAGGAGCAGAAAGGCTGAAGCAGGAGCTGCTGATTCAGCACAGCCTGTTTTCAACTAAATGACGTAGACATAAAAAAAAAAGAAGCTGATTTAGTCTTATTTCTTAGCAATTGCTGCTAAAAGTTCGACGAAATCATGTGAGCGAGAGGCACGACAATTAAGTAATTTATGATTTTGCTGTTAGTTAATCTATCCAAACTATGATGAACTGCACATTTGCGGCAGCTTTCTGTGCCTTTTTCCATCACAAACCATTTTTGTGCAGGAAATGTGTAGCAGGAGAGGGAAACAAACG